TTTTTTTTCCAAAGCAGACATCATCCAAAGGTTTTTTTTTTTTTTTTTTTTTTTTTTTTTTTAAAGCATCTTCTTGTCTTTAACTGCTGTGGCTTGTCGAATCAAAGGTGCTGAGTTTGAAACACTTTCAAGATCATTTCTTTCAAGGATGTATTCTCCCTTCTGGGCTTGAGAGACAGAACAAGCAATACCTGTCCCCACCCAAACCCCAGGCAGGGATGGACTTCTCACTAAGAAATCGCAGATTTCAACAACAGACCTATTCTCATGAATAACGGCATTGGTAAGGAAATGAACACACACCAAGGCCACCTTGTGATGGAGCCCAGAGTCATGCTCCTAACCATGTTTCGTGCCTGACTGGACAGTGCACATGAATAAAAAAAAAAAAACAGTAGTCAGTTCCTTTTCCACCAATTGTCAATTGCAGCTTTTTTTTTTTCTTTCAGTGTTTTAGCCTCTGTCCCCAATCCCAGGGAATTTTCTGCCACACCACTCCAACCCTGTGAGAATCTGACCTGCTTGCTTTGCAGACAGAAAGATGATCTGCAAAGAACCTCTCGTCAGACACCTGTTCACCATAACTTTGGTCTTCTGAAGATCCAATTAATTTCTTACTCAGGTTGTCCCATTAGCTGCAGAAAGACTAGGCCAGTGGTTCTCGGCCCAAGGGTTTCTACCCTTTGTGTGCCAAATGCCCCCATTACAGGGATCACTTAAGACCACTAGAGAACACAGATATTCACAATTCATAACAGTATCAGAATTATAGTTGTAAATTAGCAACAGAAATAATTTTATGGTTGGGTGTCACCACACATGAGGAACTGAATTAAAGGGTCACAGCACTCGGAAGGTTGAGAACCACTGTGCTAGATCTTTTGTGCCCCAAGTCCTCAGAAACTACAAATTCCTAGTGAACCCTGTCATCGATTTTAAAATAGGTATTGCCTTTCTTCATCTATTGGGTGTGGGTGTGCACATACCATGACATGTCTGTGGAGGCCAGTTGGTTATTTCCTTCTACCATGTGGGTCCCAGGATCAAATTCAGGTCAGCAGGCTTGGCATCAAGCTCATTATGCTGAGCCATCTCCCAGGACCACCAAGTAATGCCAAACGCACCCTCAGCTCAATGGGTGTCAGTGGATTTATTTTTCCTGCTACTGGGGATTGAACCCAGAGGGACTTTATACGTGCTGGTCAAGCTCTCCACCACTGAACTATATCCCTCAGCCGTTGTTTTATTTTTTGTTTGAATGAGAAAAAGTCTGAAGCAAATCCCTATTTCTTGGCCAGGGGCAGAGTGTCCATTTGTGTCTGGAGCTCGGGAGGTGAGTGCTGCTGAGCTGGTGGAGTGGGTGGCAGATGCTGGAAAGCCAGGGTGCTCTCTGTGCTTACTAGCCCCCCTGGTGTCAGATCACAGCTCAGTGGTTAAATGGAAGACTGGTCAAAAGCGTTCCAGTTGTGTTTCAGAGCGTGGGGGGCTATGGAATCCATGTAACTAAAGATCAGAAACAGAGAACAGACTGAGTCAGTCTACGGAGACCATTGTTTGGTTTGGAAAGAGAAGCACCAACCAGGTCCTCTACCTGCCTTTAAAGAGGCAAGCAGGTTGAAGCCCAGATGTGTGAGTACATGCTGCTGCATAGTTTTATGTCAACTTGACACAAGCCAAAGTCATCTCGGAGGAGGGAACCTCAATTAAGGAAATGTCTCCCAGCTAGCTTGGTCTATAGAGAAAGTTTCAGTACAGCCAGCGCTACACAGAGCAACCTTGTTTTTTTTTTTTGTTTTTTTTTTCTTTTTTAAATTAATTAAATAAAACAAAACAAAACATAGAAGAGAAGAAAAATATGTCTCCATAATACCTGGCTGTAGGCAAGCCTATAAGGCATTGTTGAAAATTAAGTTATTGATGTGGGAGGGCTCAGCCCATTGTGGGTGGTTTTCCATCTCTTGGCTGGTGGTCCTGGGTGTTATAAGAAAGCAGGATGAGCAAGCCAAGAGGAGTAAAACAGTAAGCAGCACCCCTCCGTGGCTTCTGCATCAGCTCCTGACTCCAGGTTCCTGCCCTGCTTGAGTTCGTCCAGACTTTCTTTGATGATGAACAGTGATATGGAGATGTAAGCCAAATAAACCATTTCTGCCCCAACTTGGTATTTGGTCATATTGTTTCATCACAGCAATAGGAACCATAACTAAGACAATGTGTCTGGGTTCACGCCTTTGGTGGTTCATCACTTCTGTTTGGTCCTTTGGAATTGAACTCAGGATAAGATGTCAATCTGATCACATCCCAGTGATGGAGAAGTCAGAGGCCATAGTTTCCTTTTTTTTCCTTTTCTTTCAAGATAGTATTATTTCTTTCAGCTGAAGCCTCAAGGAAGTGGAATAAGGAGTAAAAAGGAGCTACCTTCATAATCAGTGATTTTGCTGCATGCCAGGGCCACTCTTGGACCCCTGTAGGGATTTTTAGGACATGTGGTTTTCTAGGCAAAGAAAGAACACTCATGAATTTCCTCTAGAATGTAGATATCCATGGAGGGCATTTACCTAAACTGCCTTTGTTTGTTCTTGGTGCAGACATAGCCTTATGAGAACTGTTTGGACCCCAGGTATCTACATAAAGGCTAGGGGTACCAGTGTGGGGCACTGTATGGGCTCTGCTCTCTCCGTCTCCATCCAACCCTCCCCTCCATTTTCCTTTGGGATAGAGCCCGATGTCTGATTAGATTCCTTCTTGGCTTCTGAGTCTCGGTGTCACGTGCCTAGAATCTTGTAAGGGTGGGATGTTGCAAGGTCTGTGTGGGCTATTGGGAAAATCATGGACTCGGGTAAACTGAGAGAGATGGTGGAGTACCAAATGGCTCTTACTGAAGCTGCTCCCTCAACCAGAAGCCACAGGTTGCTTCTGCAGGCCATCATGGCATCCAGGCATCCCAGCAACTCTAGTTGTGGCTCTTGGTGTTGGGCACTGCTGAACGGTTCCATGTCTGAAAAACGGACCCTTTATTCCAGGCCGAATGAAGGAGAGACTACAGTGTTTCTCTTTTGAGCCCAGAAAAGGGAAGTTTGAAGTCTTAATTTTTACTGTGAACTCAAGGGACTTTCCTGACTCCTATCAGCATGCTCCTCCCGAAGAAGCCTGGTGCCATGCTTTACCTGCGTCATGACGAAATTCGTGATTGGGAGTCTTAATTCCCCAAGGTGGCAGGGCTGGGATATGGCACTAATAGGAGAGGTAGAGGTCAATGGTAGCACCACAATGAATGGAATGATGCTGTCCCTGGCAGTTCTCAATCTCTGGAACAGGATTTGTTGCCAGAAGAACAGGTGGGATAAAGCAAGTCCACCTTCATGCGTTCCTCATGCTCACATATGGCTTGCTGCCAAGGCCAAGCTGCAGGAGACCCTCAGCAGATGCAGCTGATTTCAGACTTCCCGCTCTCCAGAACCACAAACCCAAATAAGCCTGCATTCTCTGCAAATCATCCAGCCTCATGTTCTGTGACACCAGTGGCCTAAAGCCTAGCTGCAGCTGACCAGTGAGGTCTGCAAGAACCTCCCATGATTTATGACTTTCCCCAAATCTAGAATTTACAAGCAGAACCACCTGCCCATGACTAAAAGGGAGACTTGCCAGGTGATGAGCACTTAACTACGGGGTATTTCAACCCTGCTATATAAATGGAGTATTTGAGGGTCAGGCATACCTTCCTCAGAAAGTGTCTTGCTCCAAGCCAGGCATAGTAGAACTGGCCTATCTATCCCAGCACTTAGGAGGTGGAGACAGAATGATCATGAATTCAAGGCCAACCCGGAATACAAAGGAAGATACCGTGTTAGGAGTAAGCAGGAGATGGAGGATAAAACTGTGTAGTCCCCATGCAGAGGGGCAGTTCGGTTCCTTGGTTCCTTTCCATGACGCCGGGTGGCTTACAGCCCCCTGTAATTCTAGCTCCAGGGGATCGCTCTGAACTCTGAGGCGCCTCTACATGTATGTGCATACACCTACCTGCCCCACCACATACACGTTAATTAAAACGAGGTGAGTCAGCCAGGTGAGATGGCTCATGTCTATAATCCCAGCACTCAGGGAGGCAGAGGCAGGAGGATCTCTGTGAGTTGGAGACCAGCGTGGTCTACAAAGGGAGTCCAGGAGAGACAAGGCTACAAAGAGATGCCCTGTCTTGAAAAACCGAAAACCAAAACCAAAACCAAAAAAGAAAATTAAAAAGTAACAATAAAGAAACCTAACAAAGTAAGTCTAAAAAAAAAAAAAAAGAGGAAGGAAGGAAGGAAGGAAGGAAGGAAGGAAGGAAGGAAGGAAGGAAGGAAGGAAGGAAGGAAGGGTCGGTCTCAATATTGACATGTCATTTCTGACCCTCAAGCCTGGATGACCTAGAGATCCATTTCGGATTCAGGATCACTGGAAACCACATAAAATCAAGATCACCATGGCTCACACGAGGGATCTCAAGTCTAGAGAGCCTACCAACATGAACATGATATAACCAAACTGAGATGGATGCACACAGGAAACTTGGTGACACACTTTAGTGTGCTGGCGCGTTGCGAATAAACTGTTATTATTTCTCTGTAAATATTTATATTACATCAGAACATGATCACATAATCTGCATAGGCACATCATGCATACACGATGTACGTGTTAATCTCTATTCATTTTGAGGGGTATAGGCAGCATATTGTTAAAAGGTAGAAATAAGCTGGGTGCATGCCTGTGAACCCAGCACTCAGTGAAGCAGAGGCAGGCGGATCTCTGTGAGTTCGGGGCCAGCCTGGTCCGGAACAGCCAAGGCTACACAGAAAAACCCCATCTCCAAAATCAAAACAAAACAAAAAAAGTAGAAATAGATGAGTCTAGTTGGGTTGCAGTGAACTGAGTGGCTCTAACCCCAAGTCCTGGACATCACTGAGATGAGTCAGTGTAGGTTTATACCTTGAAGACAGTGTCCATATTAATTAAAATGACAAATAAGACTTAGCTCATGGGATTACTTCCAAATTCTCCGTTTATTAAACTTAGTAGACATTAAGTTAGTATTTTTGTTTTGAATAAACCCCCTCAAGTATGCACCATGACTTAAAATATAATCTGAATATAAAGCACTCTGGTACTCCATGCCATCGTTATAATTTAACACCACACTGGACGCTGCTGCTCCATAAAGCCAATTCTTAAACACACGACTGACTCCTCTCCTGGACTGTGGCCTCCATGTCTGCTTGCAGACACATCTGGGTTCCCTGTTTCTCATCACCTGCCTGCATGGGTCTCTGAGCAACAGCACTTGGTGTTTCTAGCACCAGCTGCAGTGACACAAAGGCAGCCATCCCTTCCTCTTTTCTAATGACCGAGAAGCAGCTAACCCTGAATGGGATGGCTCTAGAACTCACAGCTGGGGCAGAAAGGAAGCGGAGTCAAGCCTGTAACCCCTAAAACAGGATGACTTCTCATAAAGCCTCCATGGAGCACGCAGAGGTGGCTTTCATCAGTAAGCTCATGGAGCACGGAAGCTCTGGCTCTGCGTGTCAGAACGTGCCAGGCTTGGAGGTGGGCTTCTTCTGCACACCCCAACCAGAGTGTGAGCCGGGACACAGGGGCCTCCCTCAGAGAGGACGGCCACAGATTGCCTAATCACTCACGTGGCACCTAGTACACTGTAGCTAGCCTCTGTACTACTGCTGCTCCTGACTTCCTGCACGAGCAGGCTGCTGTAAATTTCCCAACTGGACCAGTCTCCTCTGAAGCCACCAAACCAAGTGTGTAGCACACGCCTGTTCTCAACAAGTGAAAACCAGTGCTAGTTAACACAGCTTAAATGACTTCGAAGCTCCACAGACGCCTCTCTACTCAAAATTTCTCAAAGTGTTGACTGGCATTAAGGCTGGAAGAATGATTGAACGGAACCCTGCATCTTCTATGCACACATCAACACCCGCACCTTTTCTGCATTAACACACAGGATCTTGCTGGCAGTCTCAAGCCAACTCTGCACTGGGTTCCAGTGTAGAAAACCTGGAGTATGGAAGGGTTTCTGAGAAATAAAGAGATGCGATGGCAGAGGAAAAGCTGCAGGTTGTCATTCGTGTCATTAAGCTCAGCTCAGAAACACAGATAGAGTGGGAGGACAGAGATAGGAACACAGCTGCCGCCCTTGCTGCCACGGCTAAGCACACTAGCTCCAACTCTCTGCAGACTTAAAGTGCAATCACCGCTATGAAGTTCTCAGGCCAGGGATTGGGCTGGAAGAAATTCAAAGCTGAAACTTCAGACACACTGCTCATGACTCACAGGCTGGAAGAGGGGAGAGGGGAGAGGCAATGGCAGATCTCAGGCATTCAAGTGCATCAAAAGAGTCAACGTCCTTTCTCCTTGCGAAGAAAAGTCACAAATGGTAGAGTCTCGGATTGGGAAATGTCTTTTATCTGAGGATGTGCCAATGTGGTAGAGTCCAAAGGCAGACAAAGGCAGGAAGTAACAGGGGCCCAGCTGTCCTCCCAGCCGCCCTGCCATACAGATGGGCTCGACTCTCTTCCAACAAGTCTTCAGCTCTTGGTGAAGAAGATGCACACTGGACCAAGGGCATCTGGTAGGATGTCGCCCTCTTCTCAGGTCTGTCTGGGCTGGAGCCATCGCTGGGCCTCTGGCCATTGAACAGCAGGTAGCGGCCCCGGGTGTCTTGCTCCATTTTGAAGATCTCATATTCTGTGTGAGGTAGTTTGATGCCCAGAGCTACGCAGCCGTTGGTGTGTGTGACGTCCTGTTGGACACCCACTTGCCAGGAGCCCTCAGCCCCACACTCATTCCCACTGAAGACATTGAGGAGGGAGGCTGTGGCTGCATCCATGGGAGTGACCTTCATGTGATTCACTGTGGAAAAGAGAGATAGCCATGACTCCAGGGAGACAACTTCGGAGGCATACACTTCCAGCAAATGCTCAGGACCCTGTTTCAACAGTTTTCTCTCTCTCTCTCTCTCATTTACTTATTTTATTCACTTACATCCTTGTAGTTTCTTCTATCCTTGCCTTCCCGTCCCACCCTCTTCCCCCCTCCCCTTTTCCTTAGAAAAGGGGAGCTCCCTTTCCCATGAACCCCAGCTCATCAAGTTGCATCAGGACTGAGCATGTCCTCTTCCTCTGTGGCCTGTCAAGGCTGTCCTGCCAGGGGACAGTGATTTAAAAGCTGGCAAGTGAGTCCATGTTCTATGCAGTATCCCCTTCCCTTACTAGAATACCCACTTGAAACCTAAGCTGCCTGTCTGCTACATCTTTGTAGGGGGTCTAAGTCCAGTTTATGCATGGTCCTTGGTTGATGCTTCAGTCTCAGCAAACCCTTCTGGGCCCTGGGTAGTTGGCTCTGTTGTTTTCCTTGTGGAGCTCCTGTCACCTCCAGGTCCTTTTCTCTTTCCTCCAACTATTCCCCAACACTCCCTACATATCACCCAATATTTGGCTGTGAGTCTCACCATCTGTTTTGAGGCACTGCTGGGAAAGCCTCTCGGAAGACAGCTCTGACAGGCTCCTGTCTGCAAGCTTAGTGGAGTATATCATTTATAGTGTCAGGGTTTGGCACTCTCTGATAGCGTGGTTCTTAGGCTGGGCCAGGCATTGGCTGGGCATTCCCTCAATCTCTGCTCTATCTTTATTCCTGCGCATCTCGTAGGCAGGGTAAATTTTGGGTTGAAGTTTTTGTGGATGGGCTGGTGTTCCCCACCCTTTTAACAACACAATCAGATCACTTGCTCAGCTGACCACAGTCATAACAAAAGCAGACTCCGGTGCTAAGTTCCTTATCCTGATTTCAATGGCCGTCATCCCAAATACAGCCAGCCAGTTTACAATATCATGCGCTCTGAGGCCACAGCGTAACTATAGCCTGCTGCTACACCAGGCATCAGAAATAATACAGAAATGGTGCAAAGAACAAGGAGAATATGTACGTGTGTTGTGCAAGTGCATTCATTTCACAACACTCTGAATTTTGGTATCTTCAAGGGAGTCCTGGAATTAATTCTCCATGAACACAAAGGGATGACAGTATACTATGGGTGTGGCCAGAAAACACGGATGACATTTGGTTTAAATGCTGAGCCCAGTTTGGAGTGGATCACACATATCAGTGTGAAATAAAACTATGCCAGCATACCTCAAAAGTCAAAAGTGCTCTTTGGGACAAATGATTGCTTAGAATGAAAAAAAAGTACTCAGCGAAATTCAAACTTTATTTATTTACTTTTGTTTTTACTCTTTTTGTTCTTTTTTTACCTTTTAATATTAGTTATAGTTTATTAACTTTGTATCCCAGCTGATACAAAGTTGAATATGAATAAAATATAAATAAAATTTCATAAAAATTTTATTTTTATGAAAAAAATTTTTAAAGTACCTGAAAGGTTTCACAGCAAACATATATCTGAATTAGCATTTTCACAGATTATAACACAGCCCATCAGCTGGGGATATAAATGTAGTTAGGCTTCAAACAACAAAAATATGAAGAAATAAAGAGAAGCCCTAACCCTGTGGACCCTTGGGGTCCTCCTGAGGGACTACACTTTGCATATAAGTTCAGTGGGCTTTGGGGTAAGCAGACAGATTTTTCTTGATTAAGTTTACCACAAGGGCCGTGTGCAAGAGCAGTTTCCCCATCAAAGGAGGGTGTCCAAGCTCAAGGCTTCCCTAGGGCAACACAGACATCTCACACTCTCACCCAGTGACCCAGCTACCCTCTTTATTTGCTATTACAAGCTTGACATCCCCTCATTTAGGAAATATACCCAGCATGCAAACAGGCCTAATGCTACCAAAGAGGCTGCGAGATTTCACTGCACAGCATTTCTGACTCTCAGATTACAGTGGCCCATGTAATGGTTTGGGTCCTCTTGTACCTGAGTATCACGTGAGGGCCTGGTACTAGCCTGCTCGGAGCAGGAAGGAGCTCAAATGGTATTTCCAAGTGTCCTTTGAGGCAAGCGTGGCTCTAATTTCATCCCCAGCATCTCAAGCAGCAAAGATACCCTTTCTCTTAGATTCTGCCCTAACAGAAATGTCCCAGAGCTGCTCCTGAGCTGAGCTGGGAGAAGTGAGGCAGCGGGCTTACCTTTGAACACAAACTCTGTGCCGCCCATGACCCTGGATGAGAGCACGCCTCGGCTGTAGCGGCCTCGAGCATAGATGGTGAATGTGGGATGCTTGCAGACAGGATCTGAGTAGTGGTAGTAATGGCCTTCCCAGGTGTTATTGTTGTCATGGAAGATAAAGTGGCGGGTGAGGAAGAGGACTTCGGGGCGCACCTCACAGCGCTGGCTCACCCATTCTCCATGGAGGCCAATGGTCAGGTCAGCTTTAGGGGGCAGGATGGGAGGGTGGTGTTCATCGGAGCGGTAAATGATCCGGCAGGCTATGCACGCATGGTTGTGGTTCTGAAGCAAAGAAACAAAGACATTTAGAGACACTGGTCTCCCCATGAGCTCGGTGTGCATGTGTCTGTCTCCCTGAAAATGGGGGTGGGGGGGAGGTTCACCACAGTTAGGACTGGGCACTCAGAGCAGCATCACTTAATCGAAAACCCCAGAACAAATGGAACCAGGCTCTGATGCCTAGAGCGAAGAGCCTTGTATATGCCTTAATATCAGCTATGGCATGGGCTCTTTAGAGTCCTGTGAGGTTTCAGACCATCACAAATCCAGTGGCTATGTGTGGATGAGGATGTGGAGAAATCCCAATACTTCAGTCCTGTTTGTAGGGATGTAAAACAATACAGCCTTTATAGACAAGAGTGGGATGGTTCCTCAAAAGCTTAAACATAGAATTACTATATGATACAGTTATTACCCCCCACCCAAATACATGTGCAGAAGAATTCAAAGCAGGGGCACTGACCCACACTAGCCAGAAGGAAAGGCCTTCAACTGCACAGTCACAAATGCATGCTGAACCACACAGCGCTCTGCACAGATGATGGCAGTGAACTCAGCTTTAACAGGGAGGATGCTCTTCACAGTGAACCATGCGCGCATACTGTGCTAAATGAAGTAAGCCAGTCATGAAGACATTCCATTCATTTGAGAGACATGGAGTAGTGAAATCCAGAGATAGGAGGCAGGGGGGTGACTTTGAGGGGTGAGAAGGAAGGTAGGGACAGAGGGCCCAGGTATAATGGGCAGAACTTCAGTTTTATAAGGTGAGAGTTCCAGATATGAACAGTGGTGAAGGCTATTCAACATTATCAATGTGACTCACGCCACTTAGCTGTACTCTTAAAATGGGTACCCACAAGACAGATTTGTGGCTGTATTTCAGCACAATTAGACATTTAAAGGAAGAGGCTGCAAAATACTCTAAGGAAAACACAGACCTGTGAATACAGATGAGAGGAGTCATGGTGTCCCCTTGACAAAGTGAACAAAGGAAGAGGGGGCAGACAGAAGGGAATGGGGTGACCTCTGGGCATGTGCACAGCCTGTCTGTGTGTGCCTGGGGCCCAAGATTCTCAGCATTTTCCCTGAAGTCATCATTTCACCTCCTTCACCAGGGTGGAATGGTGGCCTCACACATGTGACTTGGCAATGGTGACAAGCTTGCCTTCCTGGCAGACTGTGGTAAAGGTGGGAGGGCAGGTGGCTGCCACCTGCCTCACCCACACCCCCAAGAAGGGGGAACTCTGTACTCACTTGACCCTTTTCACTCATTAGATGAATTTACCAGGGAACACTTCCTTTGTGCCTGTGATGTGAGGCTTGTAGATGTTAAGATAACTTAGAGTGTGGAGTTAGAGTGAAGGGGGAGGCAAATCTTCCCCGTTGCATGGTCCAGGTGCATTTGCTGGCCTGAAGTTTCCTGCAGAGGACTTTGAGGCACATGGAAAAAATATAAACCGTGCTCCAGCCTGTTATCAGCAGACCACAGGGAGATAGGACCCGGAAAGATAACAAGTACCAACGAAAGATAACAGACCATCGAAACCAGAGCTGAATGAGAGATGAGGGTGTTCCAGACCAGATCCTGAAGGCCTGAGCCAGCCCCACTGCCTGCCTCACAGCTGGTGGCCATAGCAGAGTTATTCGTCTCTCTCTACTTCAACTTCCTCACTTACACAATGGTGACTATTGTACATAGCCTGTATAGCCGCTGCAGGAGAGAAATGGCAGATCAAGGTGGTTCCCACCCAGTGTCCCCACTTAGGCAGACCAGAGCAACGGCCTTTTGACCACATGGGTCACAGTCCTGTGGGTTCACAGTAGGGAGGGAAGTACAAAGTGGAGTAAAAGGGTCCTGAGCGCTGGCATGCTATGTCCTCTCAGTAAGCTGCCAGGAAGTGAAGGTTCCAGATATGAAGTGAGTTGTCCAGATATTTAAAGGTCAGGATGGGAAGTTCAGTGGATGTCTAGAACATGTACACTCCGGGCTCCCGCCAAAAGCAGAGTACATCAGAATCTCACCACAGTCAGCATGAAACCTATTCACAATGACACTGAGGCCCTGGCCAGCTGCGACAGTCTGAACCTCCTGCAGGTGGCCTACCACATTCCAGAAAGAAGAAACATCAGAAACTGATGTTCAGTTAGGGTCAGAAATATGGACCCACAGGCTCCCCACTGGTCCACACAGAGCCGGTTCCCCTCCCTGCTGGGATTTGCACAGCCAAGATACCTGCTGCCTACTCCACCTGAGTCCCCAAAGGGCTTCCAAAGTTCTGTGAGTTCAATCACTTACTTTCAACCATTCCTACCTCGACTTTTTCTCCATCCCACTCTCCACAACCTGATTTCCTATACCTAATAAGAGTTTAGCAACATCCGCTGTGCCTCCCTCACTTCTGGCCTTTCTAGGAAGTTAGGTCTCAATCCCTGAAAAAGTTTTTTTCCCCTTCTGCACTAGTACTGGCTCAGGGAAAGCTCAGTGCTGATGGCAGAACATTGAAGATGAATGCTCTTCAGTTCAACCGGGAAAGGCTGGGTTGGGGGAAGGCCCAGCTGTCACCCAGGCTGCTCCACAATGGCACCATGAGTGTTACGTTGGGGGTTCTCTCGAATAGTACTTCTTTTAAAAATAGCAGGCAGGAGTCCTGGGCTCCAAGAGAATTCTTCTGGCTGGTGGTTCTGCCAGATGAATGGTGCCCTTGAGAGAAAGGTTTGCACCTGGGCAGAAGAAATAAGCGGGCTGGGCATGTTTGAACAAGGGGGCCTGTGGGATTTGGGTTCATATGAGCAGGGGGAACCTGGCTCCTGAGCACTAGTATTACAAAACTCTAAAAAAGGTTGTAAAACTCATCATCCTAGTACTTTTTAAATACACAGTTCTATGGCATTAAGTATAGTCACATGGTTAGGCAGCCATCAGCAAGGTCTATCTATAGAACCTTCTCATCTTCCCTTCCCTTTGTAGCCCCTGGCAACCACCCTTCTACTTTTTGTCATTTAATGTGACTAAGGATATCCTATAAGGAGATGAATAAGGACCTCCTCTAAGGACACTCATACGGTATTTGCCATTTTGTGACTGGCCAATGCCATTAGCAAATGTATTCTAGGTTCACTCCTGTTGTAGCAGGAGTCCTTCCATTTTAAGGCCTGGTTATTTCACAAAGAGACATATTTTGCTCGTCAATTACTCTGTCTGTAGACATTTGGACTGCTTCTATCTTTTCACTGCTGTGAATAATGCCATGAACATGGCTGCACGGCTATGTCCTAGCATTTCTCTTTGAATCATTTTGAGTGTACACACAGATGTAAAATAGCCATACCGTACAGTAGGCCGATCTTTATTTACTCTTTTGAAGGAGAAGCCCGTGTCACACCATTTGACATTTCTATCAGCAAACCATAAGAGTGCCAGTTCCCCCACATCCTTGCCAACATTTATTTTCTACTTCCTCCCCGCCCCCGCTTTGGTGCAGCTGTCCGAGGGGGCAACTTGGTATCCTATTGTGGTTTAAATTTATACTTCCTTAACAATTTGATAAAGAGCATATCTTGTCATTTGCACAAATTCTTTAGAGGAAGGTGGTTTGTTTTGCTCACCCCCCCCATCCTCTCGGAAGCCATTTTGCAGTTATCATTAAACAACCAAAGATGTCATAAGCAGAGAAGCAATGTTTTTGGCCTCAGTGGATGAGGTCAACAGGTGACAGTTTCAGTCATGGGCACATGTACTCCTGTGTGCGAATCAAGTTTTAAAGATTGTTTTCTTATACTCTTTGGCATGAATAAAAAAATTAAAGGGACCTATAGCAATCATTTCACATAAGCAAGGAACAAAGCCTGCATGTTGTATTGCTCTACAGCTCCTTTTCTGGGGTGGTTTCAAGAGAGAGCCTTTACAGATTAGCAAATGAGAACTGCAGACGGAGATCTTTCACATGAAAGGTGACTTGAACCATCAGATAGCAGTTGCTTTATGAAGTTAGTTTTATTACAAAATAAAACATTTGGATACAAGATTCCCGCTTGAGAAATGCCCTTCCCTAGGCTCACTTACTTGGCCCTATAACACTACATTTTCCTCCATGTTGGAAAAAGCTATTTACAGTCAGGGTTTCTGTATATGCACGATTTGAAGGTTCAAATCAGAGGAGCGAGGAGGTGTTTCTTTGTTGCTATCCTTTACACCCACTATACAAAGCTCTAATCTAGAGACCTGGGGTGCTTCGGAGAGGTAGGGTACTTCTCCGGCATGTAAATGACCCTGGGTTTCATGAGGTGCAATCAGGAGTGGGAAGGCAGACTTAACTCAAGAGGGTTGGAGCTAGAAATAAGCCCTATACAAGTGTTCTCTGAACTCGTGTTAAAAATGGAAGGACCTTGCGGTTCCCACGTACACAGCGTTGCTGGCAGGGATCAAGGTCTGCCCGTCTGCACGCTGCTCCTGGGCAGCAGGTTCAAGCCTGTGGAAAAGAATATGGGATTCTGAGGTCTTCAAGCACATCCCCACCTTTCTACTCTCCCAATGAGAACGTTGGCACAGTTTCTGGCTGATGTGCCTGACCAAGGTACAGAGAGAGAAAGTAACTTGGGCCAGAAGATCTCACAGAGCTAAAGCAGTCTTGGGCCTCTAATTCAGTCCTGGGGCTTGTGCTGCCTCTGTCTTATTCAGCTATCAGGTCTGAGGTTCTGCGAACAGCAAACGTCCCCCCAACGAGGACTGCAGCCCCATGGAAAAGGGCCCCGAGGCTGATGACTGATGGGGGCTCTTCAGGCTTCTCCTGTTTCCTGCCAGCATTTATTTCTGGAGAGTTGGTCAACAGCCTCTGCTGACAGTGCCCACTTGTTTCCATGGACTTCCCAGAATGGAAGGAATTACTTGAGAAGATCTTGTGAAAGATCAATTAGAGTAGCAGGCCGGACAAAGCACAAGCCTTCAAAGCAGCAATTCTTGGCTAAAAGTTTTGTTCAAGGAAAAAAAAATGGGAGTAGATGAT